CTTAAGAGTACCGTTGGGACACAAAGGGTTAAGGTAAGTCGATTAATTTTTTTAATTTTAATGTATTTGTATCCGTTTAATGTTTTTAAATAAAATAAGTTATTTTTTCGAAATTAAAAGTTTTTAATCGTAACCAAATCAACAAAAAATTCTTTATATCACCAGTTGCGAAAAGAAAAGAAAAAAAATAAACCTTTTTTTGGTTTTAAAAAAATAATATACATTATTATTGAAAGTGTATATCAAAAAAGTGCAGGTTGACTGATAAAAATAAAATTTGGTTAAACTTACAAGCTAGTAGTAATATTGTTTTGGTTCTTATTTTCCATTTTAAATTAACACAAAATAATTAAATCACAATAAATGACAAAATAACCCACTTTTTAAAAACTAAATAACTTTAATAAGCGTAATAAACACTACAACCCGTTGACAATAAATAATTAATATTATGTTCTGTTAATAAAATGATATATATGCAACTAAAAATACAAGAAATTAGTAATTTTGTTTGCCTAGATGTCAGCAATTTCTATCCAAAACACAAATTTATAAATAACTTAGTCAAAATTAGGAACGATATTCTATGTAACGCGTTACGAAATGCCGTTTTATGTAACTCGTTCATGTTGCGGTACCTCGCTCTGCTCGTCCCGCAAATATTCACTTATTAAATAAAATGAGGCATTTCGTAACTGGTTTCATAAATAGCTCTTTTTCTCAATTTTTTATTTTATCATAATTTATTTTATCCGTAGCAACTTTTTAAAAGTCCAATGTCAAATAAATTATTTTGAGTACCCCGTAGCTCGCTTCGTTCGTGACTCTGGCAGGTTAAAAACATTGTATAAAGAACTAAATAGTAGTCTCACCTCATGGAAGTTTCATTGGAGCGAAATGGATACTACCAATAGATGGCGCCAGTGAATATGGATATGAAGTCGATATTCGTTTGCAGTGGGCGGAGTTGAGGGTCCACCTGAAATTTTAGTGAATGCCGGAGACCGATCGATGGATTTCTATTTTTAGCTCTTGGATGAAAGTTCCTTCACTCGTGATTTATTATTTGGACTATTTTCTATCTAATGTTTGTTATTGTGCGTTGTTAGTGCGTTTACGGGTAGTAGGTATTGTGAATGAGTTGTGTTTATGTTTTATTACCGAATTATTATACTGTTAATAAAGGACGAGTTCCCAACAAGAGTACCTACATGATTTATATAAAAAAAATTAAATTATAGTTTAAATTAGTTTTTGGAAAGTGTCAAAAATGTTTACCGAATTCAGTAAAATGATACTGAAAAATAAAAATATTATAGCCATTCATAATTTTTGAATTTTCAACTTTAACACCCTGCATTTCGAAAACGGGTATTTTTTTTCTAAGCATATTTCGTTTAATAGTTTTATTTTTAATCAGATAATCTTTAGTTGTACTATGTCCCATTCTTAATGATACATATTATGATATAAATTAGTTAACTATTACTCAATTTTTAAAATTAAAATTAAAAATTTGTGTATTTATAACTATTTTGAAATTAATAAAATAAAAAATATGCTTTTGTTTTTCTTTTCCTTTACAGGTTTTATCCGAATTAATTTAAAATAAAATCTGGTATAAAATAAATCTGGTGCGTAACAATGTAATTAAAAAAACCCTTAAGATGGTTGGTAAATAATATAAATGAATTCTTAATATTGAAGTAGACACAATGGGTTCTATAAGGATTATTGGTTGGGGTTCGGCTCTGGGGGATAGGGTATTTAGGATCGAAATATTGAAACTAAACTTGGTATATGGATCTATTATCACATAAAAATAAAAATCGCTTTAAAAAAATTCACCCCTCCCCACCCCTATCTGATATGGAGAGGGTGACATCCCCAAAAAATTTAGTTAGAACTTTTTAAATAAAACAGTTGAAGTCTACGATTTTTTATACGTAAAAACTTAAAATTACAATTTTTTGATAAAATTTTTCCAAAATTTTTTTTTGGACTTTCTGACAAATTTGATAAAAAAATTGAAATTTTGGGTTTGTATGTATAAAAAATCGTAGATTTTAACTGTTTGTTAAAAAGTTCTAGATCGATTTTTTGGAGATGCTACCCCCACCATATCAGATAGGGGTGGGGAGGGGTGAATTTTTTTAATGCAATTTTTATTTTAATGGGATAGTACATCCATATACCAAGTTTGGTCTCAATATCTCGACCCTAAATGCCCTAGTCCCCAGAGCCGAACCCCAACCGGATTATTTTTGTTGGTATTTCCAATAATCCTGTTGGTTAGGTTTGAAAAATATAAGTAATTTTTATGAATAATTCTTGTTATAGGTAGATTGAAGTAATTATTCTCAGGTGGTTCTTTACTGTTTTATTTAAGTCCAAGCTAAACATTTTTTTTCTTTAAATAATATAACTTAAACTAATTTTAAATTATTTTTTAAATTTCTTTATTATATTTAATAATATTTCCACTTTTTCTAATAATAATCAATTTAAGATATCTACTTTGATTAAGCCAAAATATTTAGTAGGGGAAGTTTTTAATATTATATAAACATACTGTGTGTGAATTTTGCTAAGCAGTAACCTTTATTTCTAAAAACAGGAGGACAATGTTACTTGAAAAATGTATATTTAGAATTAATATTTACCACTATCAAATCCCAGACCCGGATACAATTTTTTTTTTTAGCAATACAGGTGAAATAGAAGTGACATTTTTACAAATGAAATTAATTTCAACAAATTTATTTGAGATCATGTATAAAATTATTCATTATTAAAGACACCTTTTATAACCACTATTGCATATTCAAAAAAAGCTTTAAATAAAAGTTTGTGGATATGACTGACTTTTTTCTACATATACCATAAAAACACGTATTCAGATTTCATGGAATACAACACAAATAAACTTTTTTAAATCTGTTATTAAATTTCTGGGATATATTTTTTTTTTCCAATTTCACAAATGTATATTATTGATAACCCTATCTTATACCGTCTGTTCTCGAGTAATTTAACGTTGATAATGTAAATATGAAAAAGTTAACATTATTAAAGTAAAAGCTATGAAAATCACAACTATTATGTTTGATAATAAAATAATCCAAATATAGGTAGTTTACAGTAAGGAAGAAAAAGTGTAAATATTTATAAGATATTCGACGTTTAATTAATCAGGAAAGAATAAAAATCATTCCGAAAATTGAATAAAATATATATGTTGCTATCCCTATTAAAAAATATTCATGTTAAATCCTGTGAAATATGCAATAATAATTATGGCATAAAGGGAGGGTAATTTATAATGAATAACCCTGTTAGGTACCTAATAATTTTCAGTAAAACAATTTTAATTCGCACTTTTTTACGTAGATTAAAGAAAAATGTAATTTCGTGTTTTCTTGGTGCAGACAAAATGATGTATTTTCTTTTAACACATACCTAATACAAATTTATTAGCAAAATTTAAATACTTGTTATTTTCGGTATATTTCTCCTTTAGACACACATTTTTGGTTTCATCGTCAAAAGATTTAAATAAAATTACCGAACCTTATAATATTCTATTATAATTTGATGATCCCGAGTGGCCATAGCAAAAAGACGAAATGTGAGCATAAAGATTTAGATGTCATTAACGTAAAATTAATGTTTTGAAATTAATTTAAGTTTTACCAATTTAGAAAATAAAATTAATTAATAAAAAAAAAGCGTCTATTCGGGGGTTTGAACTCGGAAACTTCCGATTCATAGATGAGTACTCTAAGAGCTCTTTCACACGAAGATACTATATGCGAGATACGCGTATCCGAGATACAGGCTGACTATACATTCAAATGGACCTTTTCACATGGTACGGGCGACGCATACAGTATCGCGATACGGAATTTCTGCATCCCGGCACCTCCAGCCGCGGAGGCTGAATGCGTATGCCGCATACAGAATTACTATTACGATATATGGACCTTTTCAGACATGGATACTTTTGCAACGGAGATTATATCATAGGCGCATAATTTTTCAATGGTAGGTATCCTGAGTGCATGTTTAATCGATTAAATTGTATGAGAAAACAAAATTTTAAAAATTATATTTAACGATTAAATTAGTTAAAATTATTTCACGAATAAAAAATTAACCTAAACTACAAAATTGTATATTGTTCACCGTCTTCTTTACGCATGTTGTCTTTTAATATTAAAGTAATGTACTCTCCAGATGCCTTTGCATCAAACTCGTATATTTTGCCTGATTAAACAACATGAATTGGTTCCAAATTGATTTATGAGTTTTTAACCGACTTCAAAAAAGGAGGAGGTTCTCAATTCGTTGCAATATTTTTTTATATATGTTCAGCGATAATTCTTTAACACAGTGTCCGATTTCAATGATTCTTTTTTTGTTAGAAATAGGGTACTTCAGGAGTGGTCCCATATAAATTTGGTCAAAATCTAATAATTGGGTCCATGAGAAAATCCTCAAACTCTTTACTTTCTATGTATGTTTAGCGATAATGCTTTACCACCTTGTCCGATTTATATGATTATTTTTTTGTTAGTAAGGGGTTAGCTCAGGGGTGGTCCCATATAAATTTGTTTAAGATGTGGTGATGGCATCTGCACGTTTTTGAAGTCGGTTTTTTTTAATTTTTAATTTCTAATACTTGTTACTTTCTTAATTGGAATATTACTTAATATTATCTATTATTATCTATTATCTACACTATTCGTCGAAAAACCTCCAACTCTGTGTGTATTGCACATTTTTATTTTTCAAATAAAATTAAAGTTGAAAGATGTAAAACACTCAGGTTTTGGTCTACTGGAATATTATACGCTATTTGTAAATAAATTTATTATAAATTTTTATACTATGTATTACTGTTATTACTAAGCGCAGTAAAGTAGTGATGGAGAATATAGTTTTAGACACCGAAAATTTATTAGTTTGGTGTAGCCTAATCCCTGTTTATGGGATCCAGGACATATATATATATATATATATTGACAATTAATTTGACGGAATTGTCACTTATAAAGTTCTAACATCTGACGTAGAGGGCGTATCTAACCAGTAAATAAAATCGTTAGTTCAATAATTGTACCAATAGATGTCAGGCGCGATTGCCTCCAATAACTTTTACATGGCGATTATCCTACTATAGTTCTTTATACAATGTTAAAAGTGTCCAGAGTACCTGAAATCAGATGACAAGCACAGAAGAACACAAAATATGAACGTGAAACATCAAAAGCGCCGCTACGAGAGGGATTTTACCTCTTACAGTAGTACTACTTTAATTTATAGCATCCTCAAAAACTCGGGCGAGCATGTTTTTTTAATATCCACTTTCACAAGGGCATTGCAAAAGTGAGCGATCACTTTTTCTTTACATTTAAGAATATTAAATATTACTGTTATTATGAAATCCCCATTTCTTTAGTGCTATTAGTTAATATTTCTAAAACAATATTTAAATCACAACTAAAACTAAAAATCTGTACTGCAAGCATCAATAACTTTGGGACAATATTTTCTTGCTAAATTTATGTACGGTGCGTTGGATGTTAATGGTAATCTACGTGTGCTACTTAGTTTATTCCAAATATGCAGAATATAACTATCTTTTGTGATGTTCAGAACTTCATTTAAGGATTTTTCATCGAAATATTTATTCCAAAACTGATAGGGTATAGGATAAAACATGAACTGTGGATATACTGTGAAACCTTTACAGTCTTCGCCAACCATATCTATTGAATTATTTGCATGACATGCTGATTGAAGTAATCTAAAAAAATAAAAAAATGCAAATTAAATAATGGTAAACATTTATATATATCTTATCAGCTAAGCCGGTTTTAAAATAGCAGCACCTCTTTTTGATAAGTCGACACAAGATAAATCCTCGATAATAACAAAAATCATTACTTTTTATTGAATATTATTTATTGTATATGTTTGAAAACATTTACTGAGTATGTAAAGTCCTTTTCAATGGCGGATCTATGATTGGTGAGGCCCTACGCTTAATCATTTTTGAAGCCTCCAATTTTTTAAGTACCTATTTTTTTTTAATTTTCATATCTATTACTAATTTTTGTACCTACATTTAAATACAAACAAGAAAAAAACAAATAATCTTATAGTCCAGGATCCGTAAGTAAGGCCGAAATGGGTTTCCTAAGAAAATACAGTCACGGCCATTTTTTACTTTGCTTTCTGTGTACAGATAAGGAAAGAATAGGAATCATGATAAAAGTTGTTTATGACGTCATTCTTTATTATTTTGTCTTCATACATGATTTTCCTAAAATGGATCTTATTCGAGATATTTGACGAAAAGTGCAAATTTAGAATTTTAAAGATAACTCAAAAACGGATGAAGAGAAAAACACTAAATTTTAAACTGCAGTGAGCAAATTAAAGTTTGGGCATAGTCGAAGTATCTGGGGAATACTTTACAGGGTGTCGTTTTTTTACTTTAAGGAAATAAATAGTCTGGACCGTATTTTCCTAGGCAACCCATTTGCGGTATATTTATGAACATATTTTATTTAATAAAAAGAAACTTTCGTCCATTAAACAGATGGGTGAAGGTCGGCCTTACTTCGGATCTTAGACCATTACTGACAAAAATAAAACAAAACAAACTAAAATTAAAATAAAAAATAAATCAAACGTAAATTAAAATAAATGTAAATACGAATAAAAAACGAATCACTAACACAAACCCTTATTCTAATTTTTATATCTCAAAATTCCCTTATTACATCATCGTAATTTTAACTGTGAGGTCTATTATGAAAAAATTTAGTTAAAATTAACCTTAGATTATAAAAATAAGTGGAGGTTATTTTTAATTTTGTATTGTGTATAATTTGGTAAAACTTAATTGTCGTCAAATATATTATTTTTCTTAATATTAATGTCGCGTTGAGCTTAATTTGAATACACTAAGCGATTTTAACCCTTCGCCGCTTAACAATATTTACGTGAAAACGTATATTGTTTCGTCTCTGTAATATCTATATTAAGTGTTGTCCTCTTTTGCTTCACGTACCAACTCTAATTAGCAATATTTGTAGTCACAGAAAACAATGTATAGCGCTAGTTTTCGACAATTTTTGTGCTATCGTAACTCCATCTTGCGTTGGCGAACGTAACTTTTGTAGGGTAACATTGATCTTATGTATAATACATCGTTGCCATGTCTATTGTAACCGGAACTAGTTATTAAATATCTAATAATAAAAAGTTAAACTGCTGGAATACCGAGAAGGGATTGAGGTTAAAATTTAAATGGCGTAGTTACAAATAACCTTTTAACTTGGCAGTTAAAATTACCTGTAACGTGTTGAGGATCAGTTACCCTACGGCACTTAGGCCCCACTAGGTCCATTGTACATCCTTCTAAATTGATTATAAAAAATGAGTGGTGTTCATCATTCAAAACATTTTCTTTTTCTTCGAAATAATTTTGACACTCCTAGCATTTAAATTTTTTTACGCATTTTTTTATTAAGTATCCGGCAAAAGTAAATAGTGGACCATTCTTCTAATGTTACAGGAAGCATCTTTTCTAATGAACTATTCATTTCAGAACTTTTATTGTATTCTTCATTATCTGTATCTTCATCATTATGAGACTCTATTAAAAACGTTTAAAGCCTTACAAGACCCCAGGAGATTTTGGTCTTTGTCCTGAATCGTTCCCGAATTTGCTTTAAGTGGAGGCCTCATGAAATTGTGAACAATATTTAGCTTAAAAGCTGCTTTGAAACCCCTAACAGTAGGATTTCGATTATAACTCCCTTTCTGCCTATAGACAAAGAATTGATTTTCTAATGGATCCTAAATTAGTCTTTCTGTTAATACATATTTTAGTTGAGTTTGCTTAATAATATAGGAATAAAACTCTTTAATGGCATTTATGGTAAGAAGAAAACCATCAAATAAATCCGATCTCGTTAATTTACCTTTGGCAATTTGTTTAGCTACATTCTTTAAAAGTTCGTATCCTTGTGTAAAAGCATTAAAATCACCTCTTTATTCTGAATATAATACTATAGGTTACAAGGTTTTGAACTATATGCAGAAGAACTATTTAAGCCATCAAATAGGTTGTTCATTGTTTCAATAAAATAGGCTGTATTTTCAGCCGTTATGGAAACTAATTCTCCAGTTCTTGTTGCCTTTTTAATGGTTGTAGCTACAGAATGGTTAAATAACTAAGTAGCGAGCTCTACGCTCAATTTTTCAAATACATTTGGGAAAAGGTTTTTTAAAGTGATTTTTAATAAAGCTCTTCCAGATTTGCTACGTTGGTCCAGTTCACGATTCACTAAATTCATATTTTTCCTAATTTTAATTAATTATTTAAATAACATCCTGTACATTAAAATTTGTTTAATTATGTCAACAATTTGTTTTAAATAGCAATAATGTGCAAGGTTGGTTATTTAATAATTATTAAACATTAGTTTTAATAACAATAAACTATGAGAAAGTTATAAAGGTAATGTCGATGGGATGCACGAGGCTTTTTTCCACAGGGAACGGATCCTCCCTATAGGAGATCCCCCTTGTAGGAAATTCCCTGTAGCAGCTTCAGGTCATAATCTTTATAGTTTAAATTAAAAGTCATTTTTTAGTATTTCAAATAATTACATTTTTAAATAGTTTGTTAAGGGTTGTGACATGTGCCCCAAAGATTAGCGGAGTTGGTAAGTAAGTATTTTGTTGTCTTTTATATTATATTGAGCCTATAGTTGTGTATGTCGAGTTGAGACATATTTTATATAATCGTTGTAATTATAATATTATATTTGTTTTGAGAAAACATTGTGTTTCCTTCAGCCCTTTTACAGAGACGTGTCAGGTTCTAACATCAAGAGTAGAACCCTTATACAGTTAAGGGCTACGAAACCAAGTTTAAGGCTAAATAGTGTTAATGTGATTGAGTCCCAAATTCATATATTTTGTTATATAACCCCCGAGACATAGATAGTCCCACAATTATTTAAAACACGTTAATCGTGACATTTGTTTTATAAAATCACGCATAACGTGACATGGTGGAGGGCCTAGCTTCATTCCCGAGGTTTTCTTCTTCATAAGAACCCTCAAGTATCACAATTTTTTTCCGAGCGTATTATAAAAGATTCTGATGTGTTCTTGTTTTTAGCTGTGTGTTTTTAGCACATTTCCCCATTTGTATTTGGTATTAGATTAGAGAATTTATTTTGCTGATATTTTTTGTCCCATTCATTCCTTGTATTTAGTATAGTGACTGCATTTTTATATAATTCATAGTTTTTGTCTCTTTGGGCGCACAGTGGTTTTCAAAAAAGAAATATAGATTTTTTTTATTTTTTTGATCAATCGCCAAAATGCATATATTTTTATACACAAGTATGGACAAAAGATTCCTAAATTTAATTGAAATTTATTAATATTTATTTATATTACAAAAATATGGTTTCAAATTATATAATTTTATTAAATATAAGTAGGTCATGTATAATTATTTCGCATGGATTAAATATCGTTTTGTTGTTGATGTTAATAATTCTAAACAAAAGAATATTTTTATTTAGATTAATAATTTATTTAATAATACCTACAAGTAATTATTAACTGGGTCATCGAAATTCGATATTTTTGTAATAATGCTGTTTTTTATTTTTTTAAGCACAGATTATTTAATGTTTTTTGTTTTATTGGGTCCAATAAAATTTTCATTTCGAAAAATTATGTTTAAAAACCTATTTTTCAAATTATTTAGTTATGAAAAAGAGATAGCTTTGTATTACTGTAGGTAATGATTTTTTCTACGGTTAGAATGTAAATTGTATTTATTTGTGTTATAAATTCCTTTAACGTTTCCTACTTCTAGAGGTAATAATTTTCTAAAAGAAATGTGTACTAGTTTTTTTCTATCATAAAAGGTATTAGGCAAATTGTCAGTCTTTGAGTTCTGATTTTTGAATGGTGTTAATCGCAATACATTTTATTTCTAAACGTTTTGATTCTTTAATTCTACTTTTATGAGTTGCCTTTCTTAATTTTTGATACCTATATCTTCGGTTTTTCTATGGACCACGGATGATTTATTTCGCAATTTCATAATTATTTTCATACAATGTGTTAGTTCGTTTTTATTTAACATCTCTAACTTTTTTGTTTTGTTCTTCTCTCAAATTTCTGTTATAGACTTTCGATTTTTTTATAAAATTTGGAATTACAATATAGTTATTTAAATCGAAAAGATTTTTGCTGTTTATATATTTTATTAATTGATAAGAGATTAAATTAGATTTTTCTTCTGCATCCAAAATATGCAATTTAAAAAAAAGGGGTGAATGTAATCTACAGGTAAATTTTTTTTTATTTTAATAACCCGTAATGTGTTTCATGAAATTTAGGAGATTGTCGATGACTGGTCTAGGTCTTTATTTGATAGGCGATATTATTAAATATTGCTTTGTTGGTCGTCAGTTAGATTAGATTTTGTAGAATGATTTAAATTAAATGCTGAGAGTATTTAAAAAAATTTTTAGATAGTTATACCTCGAATATTTTTTTTTACAAAATAACTGATTTGTTCTAAAGTAATTTTTGGTAAAGTTGCGTATATTCTGGAATTTTCTTTTATGAATTTAGATACCCTCAATTAGGGGTATTTTTAAAATAGGACTTTCTAAAAATGTGTTGATAGGATAGGTCTGATTTTTTTATCCATGGTTTGTATACGCTATCTAGAGTTTTTTATATATCAGACACTACAGT